CCTATTGTGTCCAATTATTAGTAGTATGAATTAGTAGAACGATTTTACCCAGCGCAGCGGGTACCCGCAGCTAGTAACCAATATAGGCTAAATGCTAGACACGAAGTGCCTTTGATACCAGATTCACTTAAAGGGAGGTTAAGAATTCCATACGGCAGTTTCCACAATTGACAGAGCATGGCAAATTTTTAACTATCACATCTTATGGAAGACCAACTTTTTTGGTGCGTATCAACTATCAATTCATTATAATTAAATTGGTATACCTCAGTGAATTACAGACTGGCTTAAGGCCCCCACACACTGTGAGATTCGTGCTGAGCACGGAGCGTGAATTTTGTGCTCAGCAGGAATCTCACACCCCCGCACACGGTGAGGTTCATGCTGATCACGGATCTTACGAGCGAGTGCCATTGTAGGTCATGTGACTGATCAAAATGGCGGAACCAATCAAAATGCGCTGCCACTGAGTGAGAACCAATCTAAATGCGCCGCCACTGAGTATCGTGCATCAGACACGACAGATATTTTCCTCGCTGCCTCGCGAGACCAAAAACTTACATAAATTGTTGACCCTGCACACGGTGAGATTCGCGAGACACTCGAGAATTGACACCTAATACTTTAGGTGCATGCAGTGCATATTGTGCACACAGTACAGACTGGTGCATGAGGTGCACACGTACCGTGCACACGTTATAGACTGCATATATGTGCAAGCAAAATGTTTCTTATAACTGCTGTATTCTGCAGACAGGCAACTTGACTCATAGATTCTCATATTTGCTGTGAAATTTGAGCCCTAGTGTTTCCCAGAGGTTCCTATTCAGACTGAAATAGCATGATTGGCCACAGCAGCTCATGCTTGCATTTGTATGCTATTTGCATAAATGGCTATATTTAATTGTATCTTTATTTTTATTTTTATTTTCCATTCTTATCTCCATTTAAAATATTGTCTATCCTTAAAGGTATATATAAAAAAATAAAAATAAGAGAGTAGTTCATTCGTAATTGAGTGCTATATCTTGGTAAATTAATTTGTAAAATCTCATTCATATTCATTTACTTTTCACTATATAGCTCATTCTGGGGGCCGTTGTCAGAAAAATAATGAAATTAGGCATAATGTTAATATTAATATCTAGTACTTTAATACGACTAATGTTAATGTTAGGAGAATACCGGTGACAAAAACGGACCATTGCAATTTCCAAGCAGAAAGTCTGTCGGACCTATCAATAATTTACAGTACTCCACTTTCATGAAATAAAACATCATTAAACCATTGCAAATTAGCGAAGAAATCAAGCGAAAGTAGATCGATGTTTGGTGACGACGTGTTTTTGATCGTTTTACTTGATCGATTTGCAAATTGATGTTTTTGTATATAATATAGTATGTTTTTGCGTATCTGCATATATATATATGCCATTACCGTACGTGTTTGTACTTCAACAGTTATGTGATATGGATCATGGATGTGAGCAACATAATAACATTTTTATTCCTATTTCAAAGGGCATGGCCTTCACACTGAAGGAAAGGCAAATGCTAGGAATCCATGGGCTGTTGCCACCTGTCTTCTTCACCCAGGATCAGCAAGCAAAGCGAGTTATGGCTGAATTTGGCCGCTGGGGGTCAGATCTTGACCGATACATCTACATAAGTTCACTACAGGTGCAGTAGTTATGGTTACCTTATATTTATTTGCAGTACTTGGCAACTGTATTTTTTGTTGCATAGTTCTCCCTAGAGTGTTAAATATCGTGCAGTCATTGTATCTCCCGCGACGAAGTCGGCGGGGATACTATCTAGATGGTTTCATGTCTCCCCAGCCGCCGCCGCAGACAATTTCCCTTCTGCTCTATAACTCGACCCCTAATTGACCTAGCGCTACCAAACTTGGTAACTTAGCAACATCTTGGAGAAGGTTGAGCAGCGTACCAAAACCAGGTCACTGGCGAACCTTTATTTTGACCTTTACCTTGACTTTGATCATATTTCCCTTCGCGCTCTCTAACTCGGCCCTCTAATTGACACTAGCGCTACTAACCTTGGTATACTTACACATCTTGGGAGAGAGGGTGAGCAGGCGTTTCAAAACCAGGTCACACAGACCTTTATTTGACCTTTACCTTGACCTTGATTATATTTCCCTCCGCTCTCTCTAACTTCGGCCCAATTGACTAGCGCTACCAAACTTGGTATACTTACACATCTTGGGGAGAAGGTGAGCAGCGTACCAAAACCAGGTCACTGCGACCTTTATTTGACCTTTACCTTGACTTTGATCATATTTTCCCTTCCGCTCTCTAACTCGGCCCCATTTGACCTACGCTACCAAACTTGGTATACTTACACATCTTGGGGAGAAGGTGCGCAACGTACCAAACCAGGTCACTGCGACCTTTATTTGACCTGATCATATTTCCTCTTCCACCTATAACTCGGCCCCTAATTGACCTAGCGACGACGCAAACTTTCGTATACTTACACATCTTGGGGAGAACACGGGGGATACATGTAGTTGGCGACAACTGCCCTTTCTAGTTTAAAATGTGGGAGCATTCTGCACAGTTATCATTCAGTTGCAATGAAAGCTCTTAATCTCAGAGACATAGGGAACTAGAGGACTACCCAACGTTGCCTTGTTCCTTTTTTATCTAGACAAATGTGTATTTATTATGTCAAAGTACAAAAGTTAGTAGGTTAACATCGAAAATTTCTTTCAGGTTAAAAGCATCCTGGACACCTACTGACTACATGCATGTAATCAGAATTGTGTATAAAAACGCATTTTATTCACCCATGATATAAATATAAAAGTATGGTTGTAGTTGAGCTAGTAGTTTAAAGGATAAATTCTGTAAACCGCAAAAAATATGCTGCTAGAGTAATTCTATCACTAGGTACCGTATTAAAATAACACCAAAACTTTTTGTTAAGGTCAGAGGTGCCATCATTAACTCAAAATTTTGTCACTTGGTTCTATTGAAATGCACTTGCAGTACTGTTTTCGTAACATTTTACCAGATTTTATTGCCTGCTAACCTTTCATGCTATTTGCAGTGATATTAGAGGTGGATCATTGTCAGAATGTTTTTGGGCTGTGACTGAAAACGGAAGAGAAACGAACTCCTAGTTCACGTGTAACACATGTTTTACAAATGTTGCATAAATTAGTCAGCGGAGCTAGACTAGGGGTTGTTTAGCTCCATCTGACATAGTCAGATGCAGCTTGTAGAATGTCGCATGCCTCGTCCGTCGTCCGTCCGTCTCGTACCGAGCGTCCGTCTCGAACTCTGTCAACAGTGGTGCACAAATTCTTAACCGCTCGACGTACGGTCACGAATATTCGGGACTGGGGCGGTAATGCGAAAAACGAGTTTGGGATGTCGAAGCTGGGGGTCAAAGCGTCAAAGGTCAGAGTGTAAAAAGAAGGGGGAAACTATTCACCTCCTTAACTTAAGTATAAGGGGGAAATGCCAAGAAATTGCGGCAAAAATCTAAACGGCGTCGACCTAGGCTCCGTAATCAGTCGGTTGTATAGCATCATGGTAGAAAAGCCATCACTGCTGCCGAAATTGGAGGTCAACAGGTCAAAGGTCAGTGGCACAGGGCAGATTTTAGACATTTTCTGAGGACATGGTCCTGACGGCAGCGATTGAAAAAACTTTTTTTTTTCAGCGGTGACCTCAGCACTTTTTATGGCTTTATGAAAGGACCATGAAATATATGGCTGTTTCCACTGACTAGCGACATCGATTAAGTGTCGGAATAACCTTTTGACCACTCAAATGAGGAGGGTAAACATTGATTGTGTTGATCTGTTATAACAAAGGATCGAACTGCTTTTGCTATTATTAGAGCCCATACCTGCTGTCAATGCTGAGGGCCTACAGTTTTGCACAGTTTAATTGCAAAAGGCAAATGTTGTGTTGAACAGGTTTACGCTCACTTAAAATCATATCATTTTCTAAACAAGCAGTCTGTCTAGTAGCACCCTGCCCCTGGCGCCTGAAGCTGAATGTATGAATCAGTGACATGCTCGCATGGAGGCAAAAAACACGGGCACGCATCTAAATCATAATGTTGGCCTGCCACAACCTGGCCATGCACGTTTAACTCACAGCCTGAGCGAAATTATTCACCTGCCTGAATATACTTACTTGGATTTTGTCCTGTACCTACTGTAGGATTTCAGGAATGAGGGCAGATGCCATCTTGCATTATTGAGTACACTTGCACGCGCCATCTCGCGGCACTATAGGCCTATTTAATTAGATTTGTATTCTCATGTAACTTGTTAAACGAATAGATAATAACTAGTACCCATATAATATATAATAATTTACTTTTCATCTTGAATCTAACAGTATATCATGTAGCATATGGCCGTGCGTATCCAATTTACGCAGTTATCGCAACATAAGCTGTTATCAATAGAAATATTAGCAGACACTATATATATTTGATTTCTTATAAAATGTTAACTACTCGAAGCGGCAATAGGAACAAATTATTAATTGAGGGGGCAGTAAAAGCATCATCGCTGGGTTTTAAATTTTTTTTTAATAATTAAGAGAGAGAGAAGAAAGTCTATAAGATAAAGAGCGAGAGAGAGTAAATATGAGAAACGGGAACAGAGGAAAACGGTGAATACGGTGTGTATGCGAGCGGCGAAACGGGGGTACAATTAAGGTCGTGCGGAGCATGTTGCAATGGGGAGTGGAGGGTGGGAGGCAGGGGGAGGGAGGTCGAAGGCAGGGGGAGGGAGATTGGGAGGTATAGGGGTGGAAGTGAGAGGCAAGGGAGGAGTGAAGTGGCGAGGCAGGGGGAGGGAGGTGGGACGCGTTGGGGAGAGGTGGGAGAGAAGACTCCCCGCCCCCTCTAAGTTAACTTGGAGAGGATCCATGCTCATATTTGAATTCTTTAATAGATCAGATAAAAATAGATAAGCTGTGAAATTCTATATGCAGTGTTCGGCGAAATCGTAGGAAAACCTTGCCGACACCTAACAGGGCCCGGCAAGCACTTTTCAATTTACGGCCCGCAGAATATTGGCTCGCCCCCTGCAAGTTTTTGCATAATGGTTGGAAATAAGCATTTTTAAAAGGTCGAAATAAAGGTATTACTAGTGCTAATGCTCATATACAGTGCTAATGTATCATAGTAATTGTATTCTATCTGTATGATTCAAGATACTATGATTACATAAATGATTGAGAACAAAAGATTTTCCTTAACAAAGATTTATTTAAATGAAAAACAGGTACACTTTTTTTAAAATAAATCACCTCAGTTTAAGTAAAAACATCAAAATACAATGCTTGATACTGTGGTGCAAATAAGGAATCCTCATAAGTACAAATTCAATAAATACAAGTAAAATATATGCAAAACCAAAATTCTTTTTTCAAAAATTTGAAGTGTGGAACACTTAGTTAGCAGTCATAAATTTACATATGTTTCACCTAAGTGAGATTGTGAAGGACTTATGCCCAGCAGGGAATACATTTTCCCGGTATTTAGCATCCGCAATTCGCGATGGCATGTTTTTACCCTATTGTGACCGCGTAAGTAATTGTAATGTATTGCGCCGCATAAAATACGTCAAGAACTCCCAACGACTTTTTAAGTACATGTGTTAGAGCCATGCCGCACGGACGAGTACAAATTAGCGGCTGCACGTATAGGCAACGTTTTCAAATATATTCCGAAAATAGCTTTATTAAAGTTCACACGGATATTAAGTCATACACATATTCTCAAACGCACCAACCCGCATAAATACAGTAACGGAAGAATTAAAAAACGCTTTCTCATCCCACCGCAGTCAGATGCTAGACTTGTCTCTTGTTTCGTGCAGAATATGCGCGTTATTTTATACCAGATAGAACAAAGTCATGGGCTCGCTTATTTGTTTAAAATGCCAATTATACAAGCGGGAGGTCGCTGTCAGACGATTCCTGTGTTCCCGCCACTTGCAGCGCAGACTAGTTCTCTGTTCTTCTTAAGTAGAAAACTGGTGAACCGCCAAAACCGATCAAGTAGCCAGTCTTTCAAAAATCGAATACGACAAGCCGCCTGATCACCACAGATACGCGTAGTGAAAGCCAAAAGCCAGTTTTCTAGCCTAGGAGAACTCGTGTGTAAATTTATAGTGGCGGCTTTTAAACACGAAAAGTAAAGCACAAATAGGCGGCGAAATAAGTTATTTTGCAGGCGAATGTTGCCTGCCCGTCGGGCGTGCGAAACTTTAATTTTGGTCGCCCAGCGCCAAAAGTTGCGGCCTCGGGCCGTACGGCATGCCTTATTTCAAACACGTGATCTATGACACAAATTGAAGTGAAAGGCAAGCAGCATTTAATAAAATAAACCAAAATCGCATAGGGGGGAGGATAGTGAGCGTGTCCTAACAATGATGTGTACGCAACTGCGTATCTGCATATCTGCGCCTAACAAATGTGTCACTACGCACGACTGAAAATGAACGTTCATAAACCGTAGCAACAGACCCCAGATGAGGCCCAGACGCTCTGCGGCTCTTGTTTTAGTAATAGTCTATCTAGACACAGCGTCGCGCATATCTTGTTGGCGGCTACATTGAATGTTATAGCAGAATGTAAAATGTGTTTAAGATCGGCGCGTTTCTAGGGTCATTGTGAAGCACAGGCACTTGGACCGTTTCAATAATAAAATGATGGTTAATAAATACAACTTGTCAGTAGCCTACTACTACAGTACCAGCAATAGTCTTAATGTTTGATTGACCTAATAACTTCACTTCAAACAGCCGTTCAATACACCGCTGCAACACATAGCCCGCACGCCATTGTGCATGCACAAATACACAGTAGATAGGAGAAGGTAAAGAAAGCGTGTTCCACGAAATTCCAGAACGCTCCACTTTTGCGCAGCACTAGAGGAGAAATACACGTTCCAAAACGCCATGATATTGCCATCTGTGTGTAGCTGAATGATCACTTGTTCGAAATATACGTCTTGCAACGTGGTACCACATACTTTACCCAGAATTATATGAAAAATCCTGTTCGAATTTGCCGCAAATTTCCCATGAAGCGCGATTTGTAAACGGACCAACATGTCCGGAAATCCCTAACTGCTCTATTATATCCTTTGACCAATCACGATAGTCGCCCGTGTGACGTCACTTGTGCGAAATACGATAGCCGCTCGTTTTGAGTTGGGCAGGCGATGCAACTCCTCCCAGAGGCAATGCGCCGCCATTGCTCAGTACTTGTCCGTTACAAATCGGCTTCATGGAAATTGCGGCAATTCGAACAGGATTTTCATATAATTCTGGGTAAAGTATGTGGTACCACGTTGCAAGACGTATATTTCGAAGCAAGTGATCATTTCAGCTACACACAGATGGCAAATATCATGGCGTTTGGACGTGTATTTCTCTCTAGTGCTGCGACAAAAGTGAGCGTTCTTGGAATTTTTGTGAACACGCTTTCTTACCTTCTCCTATCTACTGTGTATTTGTGCATGCACAATGCGGTGCGGCGCTATGTGTTGCAGCGGTAGTTGAACGGTGTTGAAGTGAAGTTATTAGGTCAAATCAAACATTAAGACTATTGCTGGTACTGTAGTAGTAGGCTACTGACAAGTTGTATTTATTAACATCATTTTATATTGAAACGGTCCAAGTGCCTGTGATTGTGAAATGGAGGTAGGACGCGGTCTGGGAGAACGGGTGACATGTGCGCTCAGGATGTAGGGGTTTTGGGGGTAATATATAGAAGAGAGATTAGAGAGACAGGGGAGACAGAGAGGTAGGAGTTGGGGAGTCTGGTTGTGGTCGGGAGAGTTAAGCGTATTTTTGTCTCTGTGCAAGATGGACACACTGTGTGCGAGCATATATTAAAGTTTATTCAGGTTACCACACAAGTTTGGATTTCTATATCATCTTTTATACATTCAAATATAATTCAACGTTACACACGTATCAGGTCAAAAACTTGACACCAAAGTCGGTCACAAAATATGCACTTTCCAGAAGCCTCACACACGCACATGTATGAATTCGTGATATCTGTAAGGGGTAATGTTAATCTTGTGACATTTACAGTAATCAGACAGTGTGGATGATTATAAAAGTGGCTGATGTTTGTTCTCAGTTGATAACATGTGGAGGCATATATGCATGCAGTCTAGTCAGTGGGTCCAGACAGATCTGTATGATCTCGTGGTGGGGACAGGAGATATGCTTGCGTTCATTTATGTGCACACGAGCATGATTGACCACGTTTTCATTGATTTATAAAATTAGCCCTATGGAAATTATTCAGGTTTGATTTTGGTCACATCCTGGCTGTGCGTACGCAGTGACTGTTATGTTATGCGTTACTGGGTGGCTGTGTGTGTACTTTACAGGGGTTCTGCTGTTGCTGCTACAGCTGCTGTACATCGGCTGACGACATGGCCACATACTGCCAGCGTGTCTGACGATATAGGGCCTACTGTAGAAATTTGCTGTCTGGATGTTGCAACAAGGATTCATTACTAAAATGCTATTAATATATATGGAAACGGTAGTGAAGCTTGTGTTGTTAGCTGTTCCATTGCAAAATACAGGCATGACATTTTGTGGGTGACAGAATATGTAAAAAAAATTATTGTTCATTTCTATTTTGAAAGTCAATAATGACATTTAACATTTCGGAGTAAGATGAAAAAGGCGAAGATAGGCAGATATGTTTGGTTATGAGCGATTTTTTGCTGGCAGTGCTGTATAACACTTAACAGTTCTAGACATTGATTCGTTGATAGGCGGCTGTATTGCAGAGTACTGTTGCCACCCACCATTTTTTGGAAACAAACTTGTACAGGCATTCATTACTACTACGTGGTTGTCGTTGGCTAGCTAAAGCTATTGGCAAAAAAGGTGATGTCATTCATAGGTGCAGGGTACAATGAAAGACCTGTCCGATTTATCTATTTTTAAAGTTGGCATCATATGGCCTATAAACCCAGGGTGTGTATTATATCATTTATATGTGACCGTGCACAAGAATTCGCAGAACATTAGTAGGGTTTTGTACTGGGATACATGTGTAAGTGAAAGGCAGGGATGGCTGGCTATGCTAGAAAAGCTGCAGAGCAGAGGTATATAATATGTGTGTTGCATTTGTTTCAGTGCTAGATTGTACTTGGGCATGTAGTTATTATGCCTATCATTCCACTTGTACATTTCAGGACCGTAATGAGAAGCTGTTCTACAAAGTACTGTGTGAGAACATTGAAGAATGTATGCCCATCGTTTACACCCCCACAGTCGGGCAGGCCTGCCAGAATTGGGGCAAGATCTTCAGAAAGCCCAAGTAAGGCATTCGTATAGCTCATTTTCTGTATCATTGTATCTTTGCTAATTGTGGTGATAAATAATTTTTATAGTAATACTGTAATAGTATTGAGCTGAATTGAATTATTGCTGTTAATACAGTCTGTCAGTCAGAAGTATTTCTCTTGCGAGAGCGCATGTTCCCAGAATGTATAATGAACAAAATCAATAGCAGCTGACTGAAAAAAACTAGCGCTCTGAATTAGATCTCTGGTACCAGTTAAATATTTATGAAGAGAACAGACAAGGGTAGAGCATGAAAGAGGAGTTTAATTAGAAGTGGAGGGGATGGTGGTGTATTACAGGTTTAAAATGACTATTGCAAATTTTTTGGCTCAGAAAAACTAAATATAGCTGAATAGAGTCTCACCTGACGGTGGAAATATCAATGATTATACCAACATTCAAAACACCAAGATTTTATGCAGTTATAGCATAGAAAAATTGATTTAACCACATCATACCAGCAATAAATTTTATCGTGTCCTGACTCTCAAAATCACAAATGGCGTCTTTAAACAAGTGCACATAATTATAACAAAAGGGCGTGCAATTCTGTTTGGTAAATATTATTGAGTTTTTATGTCAATAATTCAGAGCACTTTCTGTCATTGTCATTCCCGTGTTACTATCTGACTGGCAATCCACAAGCTTCTCTAATAACAGACTTTACATGGCATTAGTACTACACTGCTGTTGCGCTAGTATGAACGTCTGTGTTTACACTCTGACCTGATTTCTACGGTTTGATGGTATGATGGTATGGCACCGTGATAGATGTCTCGCGCTACCGCGAGAAACTCCGAGAGATGGCAACGGTAAACAGAAACAGAACGCAAAATTGTAATCGTACATGATTTCATTGGATTTGGTGAATACGAAGGTTCTAAGACATATCGTTACTCTAGACAATTGCTGTTACTCAAGCAATAGTGGTAGGTATCATGAAAGTGGGGAAAACACTGGAAAATTCGCGCAATAATCGCTTTAAAGCTAGGGAGAATGAGGAACAAGCCAGTTTGTAGTTACAGTCTGCGCATGCGCGAACTCTGCCACGAATTCTTTTGGGTCAGGTCATTTGTGACAAAATATTTAATATTTCGACTGCACAGTACACATACGCATGCATCTGTGTCGTTGTAATGCTACAGTCTTCGTGTGTGCACATGTGCGTGCGTGCGTGCGTGCGTGGGCACGTACACAGAATACATGTACATACATGTACTGAACCGAGAATGCACGCCGCACTCGACATTTCATCGATTTTTGTCACAAATGACCTGGTCACCTGTGAGGTCACACAGCCCTATTGGCTAACGACGAACTGGCTTATAGAGAGATGACAGACGATGAGGTGAGGAAAATGGAGTTAGTAGAGTGAGATAGAGGAGGTTCAAGAGAAGTGAGAACAGGAAGTGGAGGGGTTAAATGTGGTACAAGCAGAAGAGTGGGAGAGAGTAGAGGAATAGTGTATAGTACTGTAGTAGTACTAGTAGGATTGGTGATGATCATGATGATGATAATGAGGAGGAGGAGGAGATGGAATAGGGGAATGGGGTGGAAAAGGTGAAAGGAAAGCATACATGTGAAAAGGTGGATACACAGAAGAAATTCATCACCAGCGGTGTCTGGTCATTTGCGTTATAAGTAAGCTGGAAATAAACTCATCAGTGTAAGCATAGCATTTGGCGTATCAGTAACTGGCCAGTCCCAACACTGTAAGGTATTCTTGCTCAGCTGACCTAGTATCCAGAAATACATTAGTTGCTAACCAAATTAGCTCCAGGCGAGCTCTTTTTGCTGTATGTTCTCTGCCGTCTCCACTGCAGTAAATTTAATAGCAGATGTCTATAAATACTTTTGCTAGTTCGCAGTGCTACAGTTTTTAGTAGTTACCTAATTACGGACTAAATACGGGACTACGTCACGAATTTTCTATGGTAAAATTTGTAAAAAAAAAATTGCCGATTTTTTACATTAAAAGAAAGAACTAACGGGACTAAACAAATCGTCAAATTCTTACCTGATAAGATTGTTTCTCAACTAGTTAAAAATCCAAAAAACCTGGACGATTTGAATTAATGTTGTCAACATTAATTGCTTGCTATGGGCTATGTATGGGTCACGAGTGTATGTTCACATCAAACAATATACTAAAATAGGAAGTATAATGCAGCATTTTAACCATAAAATGTGAACAGAATTACTTATATTTTGTGAAAAAGTGGAAATATTTTTTTTATTTTTTAATATTTACGGTGACGTAATCACTTTAAGCACAAAAGTGCTACACTGATCACTCATGCAATAAGTGAGTGTTCAGATTTATGCAGTGGTACATTACGAAAGTGAATCATTGATATTTCTAATGCAATGATCTTCCACCTATGATGCAGCCCTTTTTAGCTCATTTGACATAGTCAGATGCAGCTTGTAGAATCGCATGCGCGTGCGTCCGTCCGTCCGGCCGTGCGTCCGTGCGTCAACAGTTGGGCACAAATCTTAACCGCTCGACGTACGGTCACGATATTCGGGACGTGGGGGGGGGGGTGTCGAAAACGAGTTGGGATGTTGAAGCTGGGGGTCAAAGGTCAAAGGACAAGAGGTGTAAAAGAACCAAAGAGGACC